ATTTTTTTGTTTTTTTTTTTTTTTTTTTTTTTTTTTTTTTGAGACAGAGTCTCACTCTGTCACTCTGGGCAGAGTGTGTGGCATCATAGCTCACAGCAACCTCAGGCTTTGAGCGTAAGCCATCCTCTTGCCTCAGCCTCCTGAGCAGCTAGACTACCAGTGCCCTCCGCAATGCCTGGCTAGTTTTTCTACTTTAGTAGAGATGAAGTCTCGATCTTGCTCAAGCTAGGCACATGCTGTTGTTAGGTAAGCAGGCAGTTTGACAAATACTAGGTAGGAATCAAGACATTTTTATGTTTACATCGTATTGATCACCAACAATTTATCTGTTTTGCTTGTATCTTAAATCAAAATATGCTCAATGTTCAGTATAATTTTCATATTTCTTTTTCAAATACAAGATACCTATCAACAATATTCTATTAAAAACCAACAACCCTTTTCTCCACATAAGACATACAAAGCTCAACTCTCTCCTATTTTTTTTACCTTCTAGGATGAAATATATATGCAAGGAATATGCATGAAATCCATATCTCCAGGCTCTTCATGTTCTAGCTGCTTCCTCTCTTGCCCTCATTATTGCTGGTCACTCTTCTACTATCACTGCAACCTTCAGCTGTCATAAACCACTTACTTTTCCAAATGTACTACTTTCTTCCAAATCTCTGTGCCTCTTCATGTACTGTTCTCTTTACATGGCTCAGCCCTTTGTCCCTTTTCTGTCTAGTGAACTCATATGCACCTTATAAGCTTAATTACAAGCTTAATTACAACCTTGTTTGTGAAGTCACACCCAGGTCTTTGAGACAGGACAATAAGTATACAGCAAATACATTTGCTAATTCTTCACTCACCAATGGTTACAAAGATGAACAATAGAAATCTTCTACCCATCTAAACACGTCAAAGTCTCATGCCCTGTAAACTAATGTAGTATATAATTTTAATTTTTAAGAGGAGTTTAAAACCGAGTGAGCAGCCATGTAATTCCAACTTCATTCACTTGAATTATTTCCCGCCATGTATTTGTAATGGACTTTCTACTAAATAACCAAGTTTTGCATCATCCAGAGTAGCAAATTCTTCTAACACTTTTAGATTGCATGTTTCTGAAACCAGTGCCTTTTACCAGGCATCCCAGAGATCACTAACCTAGGAGGCTATGCAGAAGCTGAGACATAGTAGCTAGAACAGCAGGTGGAATTGCAAAGAACCATACTCACAGCATTCACATGCACTTAAAAACCACCTAGGTCAAGAATTTTCCAAGTCTTCTCTGTGGAACCCCATGGCTCTTCTGAGCATGTTTTAGGGTTTTGGCAAATGGGTGATTGTAATTAATTAATACATAATAATTATTGAGGGTGTAAGTTCTAAATGGTGGTCTAGCATGTTCATGCTCCATGTCTAAACAAACAGGATTGGCTATGCTAGCAGGGGAGAAGGAATGCAAAAGCCAATAAATCAGGCTGCAGAATCCCCGTACTTTTTAGAGGTTCCAAAGCGAAGAATTCCTCAAAGGAATTATGTACCCCACAGAACAGATTTTGTGAAATGCTAGAATAGAAATACAGTTTCATAGAATTTCCTAAGTAGTGATTCCAGGGGTCCTCAAACTTTTTAAACAGGAGGCCAGTTCACTGTCCCTCAGACCGTTGGAGGGCCGGGCTGCAGGCCCTGGGACGAGTTGGCTGCTAAGCAGGACAGGCAGCGGCAGCAAAAACACCCGGCGGGCCAGAAAATTGTCCTAGGCGGGCCATAATTTGAGGACGCCTGATCGAGGCAATTGAGATTATTCTATAAGTGAGCAAACACTAGCTTAGGGTCAGAATGTGCTCTGATGTTGGCTGAAGAACTGGAATTGGAACCTACAACTCTTGGCTTCTAGAACAGAACTCTTTCAGTTACCTGGCATTTTTTAGGTTAATTGTAATTTCAATTACTCATGTCTTTTATCACACTATATGTGATGAAATAGCACCTCGTATCCTTTTGGAATTGAAACGAGTGTGAATTAATAAATACATAGTATAAGTGGCTGTAAATC